CTCTCTCTCTCTCTCTCTCTCTCTCTCTCTCGCAGATGCACACACGCACACATACACACAGCTCCCCTTTAAACTGGCTCCCCGCGTCCAGATGTGTCATGTGCTGCAGCTCACTCCACTGATTATGAAAAGCATTGCAGCGCTGCAGGATAATCCAGATTAAGAGTGGTGCGGTCCTAAGAGGGGCGCACACAATCTCGCCCACTGAACTGCACTCGCTGCAGAGTAYGAATCTAACTGTTACACAGGCTGACAGTTTATTCTCAGCCTAAGGGCGACCAATATACTGTAACTGCTATAGTTTTGTTATGTGTGCAAAAACATAAACCAAGAGCAGCTTCCTAATAAAGTTGAGATAGTAAAACTGTATCTGCTTGGTCCAATTTTGTCTTTCATGGCTCATTCGTGTGTCCATTGGGAAGAAAGTGATGAGTGATGTATTCTGTAAAGAACTGAAGAGGATATAAGAAAGMAACGCTTTTACTTTTTCTGGTTCTCTTCTTCAACACTGACCTAAATAACTTGAAGACCTAGAAATGACAAAAGGACTGTGGTAAAGTTGTCCAAAGAGATATAAAAAGTCAGATACAGGGACCTTCATCCAWCAAACACTAAACAATACTCGCAATCCCACAAATAACAAAATTRTATTTTGGCTTAGTTATTATATCTTTACACATAATGGATAAATGAAATCTCTGCTAAAAATCTTTTGTTTTAAATGGGTGTATTTGTAATCTTCCTGTGTTCTATGTTATATTAAATGGGGCCTGACCTCTATCATTTGCTGCTGTTTTACATAAGAATGAACTTAGACTGAATTTGCWAGGGCTATATTTAGAGTGCAGCAATGAAAGGTCTGCTTTAAACAYATCTCATTGGCATATGGTATTATGSTAATCCCAYGACTSTTAMTTCAGGCTGTKTGTTTGTAAAATGAAATRAGCAGAGGTCCAGTAGGCTTTGGCCCACAAACCCAAAATTAGTGTCTGTGTGTTCAGTGACTGTGGGCTTCTGGGTGTTTGTCGTCCCCCTACAACTAACACCCACACTCAACTCACATTCCATGCCATTGCCAGTTGTTCAAAAATAGCCCTGCACCCGGAGCTTCCCGAAGTGGCCAGCAGACAAGCAGAGCTGGACTCCTCAGTGAGTGAAAGTTGTTTCCACGTGTTTGACCAGGAGTCGTTTAAAACCACTGCAATGCTCTTTATTTGGAAAACGTTTGTAATCCAGCTTTGGGTGTTTAGATGATCCTTAATTCTTTGTCCTGAACTATRATGTCTACTTGAAAAATGGAGCCATTTTCTGACCAGTTCTTAGAGTTCCACCCGATCCAYGGTACCAATGTCAGACTGAACCACTCAGGAACCCAGGCCACACGGGTGGAGAGCTTTGCCAATGGAGTCTGTTTCAGCAAACACCCTCTGAAGCCCGGCGAGATTTTCCTCATAGAGATTGAGGAAAAGGAAGTGGGCTGGTGCGGTCACCTCCGGATGGGTCTGACTGCCAGGGAACCCAGAAGCTTAGAGGTGGTGCCGGAGTACTCCATTCCAGACTTGACCGAGTTGGGGGACAGCTGGGTCTTTGCCATCACTCGCAACCATAACAAGGTTGTTGAGGAGCCTGAGGTCCCGGAGGCTGGAGGAGGAGAACTTCCTGAAGGTCAAAGACTTGGTCGAGGAGAGGCAGAAGACAGAGATGGAGGCTACAACATGAAGACAGAGACTTTCTTCACTGACACCCACTTGTGCATTGACAATGTTCGAATCCCCAGAGACAAGCTGGTCGGTCGAAGTCGTCCCGGACGCTACAGCCACCTCTTGGATGACTTGTATAAAACCAACACTCTGCCTCCTACAGCCAGACGCAGCAGAATCGGAGTTCTGTATGTGCCAAAGGGCAAAGACATGGCTGATATGCACATTGTGATCAATGGAGAGGACATGGGAGCTTCTGCAAAGGGAATATCCACCAGACAACCTTTATACGCTGTGGTGGACATTTTTGCTTCTACAAAGTGTGTTCGAATTGTCCAGGTGGAGTACGGCTGTGAGTGTCACACAAATAAAACACTTCTTTACACTACGCAGGCGAAACAGAACCATTTATGATCACTTTGTTTATTAGTAGTTATTTTAATCCTATTTCCAGTTGTCCCTGCATCTGTAAGTTGTCTCTATGTGGATGTTGATACTGTGCGTTTTATGTTAATGACAATTGTTTTGTCACTTAAAGTTGGGTAGCACAACAGCTCACTGGTACCTCTCAGCAAGAAGGTCTGGGTTTGATCACTGGGTCTTTCTGTGAGAAGTTTGCATGCTCTTCTAATAAAAAAGAATAAATACAGTAGGTCCTCTGGATGGGTTCTTCTTTAGTGAAAGTTTTCGTCTCGAGAGGCTTCTTCAGTCTGATGAGTTTCAGGTGAACTCAGCTTTATAAGCACTGCCTCCACATGGTGGACAAACAGCTTAGTCACATGCAAAAAGAGGGCCATCGCCTAACAATAGACGAAGAAGAACCCATCCAGAGGACCTACTTATTTTTTACTTTTGATTTTTTTCTACCTGGATTACTGAGATGCATCAGGTCATGTYTTCCTAGTGTCTGTGTGGGTTTTCTCCAGGTACTCTGGTTTCCTCCCACAGACCAAAAACGTGTATTTTAGATTGCCTTCAGGTCCCGGCAAAAGAGATCTGTGGTCTCAATGGGATTTGCCTGATTAAATAAAGGTAAATAAATAAATAAATAAATAAAAACTTAAGTTTTTTACGCATTTAATGTTTCTGTGGCTAACACA